GATGCCCTCGACGCCTACATGCAGGTGCGTACCGCAACTGACACACACACACACACACACACACCACACACACACACACACAATCGGCGATTCTCACGTGGTGATGCGTTCTCGTGTGTGTGCGGTACAGATCATTTCGTCGATGGGCGAGGAGACGATTCCTCTCGAAAAGTTGTTCAGCACGCCCGAGGCCCTTCAGAAGATGAACTTCTTTTGCGAGGTGCCGCTCTCTCGTTTATAGTTATGACGTGTTTCGTCTTCGTTCTTTCATGCCTGACCGCGGATTCGTTCTTTTTTCTCACCATCACCGTCATCATCAGACGTGCCTGGGAGCGGGGTACGACAAGGAGGCGTGCGGGAAGTACTTCCTGCCGCAGCTGCTGCTCTACTTTCTTCGCTTCCTCGACATCTACGACAACTCGCTCAAGGGCGCCCTCATGGACAACTACCTCGAAGAGCTCAAGCGCATGCAGATGGTGCGTACATCCACCCACCCAGCCACCACCACCACCACCACCACCACCACCACCACCACCACCACCACCACCACCGCCACCACCGCCACCACCGCCACCACCACTTCATCCTCCTCTTTCTGCGTCGTGAGGTCATCATTGGTGACGCTGACCACACGAGCGACCGAACGCGCGCCTGATGGGTGCAGGAGTCGCGAATGAAGGACGACAAGGGCGTGAAGCAGCTGTGGGAGAAGATGAAGCAGCAGAAGGAGGAGCAGGAAAAGGCTACGAAGACCGCCCCCGCTGCCAGCGGAGGCAAGAAGGCCGCCGCGGCCAAGTCAACGACGGCACCGGTGGTCAATAAGGGCCAGGCCCAGCAGGCCGCAGAGAAGGCGAAGGCGGAGGGCGAGGGCGTGGAGATCACTGACGTCGACGAAGACGACGAAGAGAAGCAGCGGGAGGAGCACGTCAACCGACTGCTCGGGAACATCAACATCTTTGCCGACATGCAGAGGGACAAGCACGAACGCGAGGAAATGCTCGAGTACGGCGCGCGCCTTCCTTACCCTCTGCCCTTTCTCCATCGTCGCACGAACTATGCATCACTGATACACGCACACGCACATGCACACGCACACGCACACGCACACGCACACGACACTCCCAGAAAGCGCATGGGAGCCAAGAACGAGATCCACTTCCTCGAGAAGTCGGCCACCAAGGGCAGGGAGCTGCTCGGAG